ATATACTAAATAGGAATTTTAATGCTGACCTTCCAACAGCGTCTAGTTTATTAAGAAGTTAATTATTATAACAACAAATTTCTAACCCGTATGATAAATTCGGTACAGCCAGTGATTTGAACAAGTTTACTATGGTTAATGGTTGACAAAAACGAATACCCGATTTTATAAGAGCGCTGGATATTGATTGAAACTGAATAATACGTTCGTTTACATTTATTGTTTGAAGTGTTACTATATTTTTTGTATTATTTTGATTATCCCATAGGAATCCTAGGTGTTTCAGTTTATTCTTGAGGTGTATGGAAAAGCCGTTTATTTGAATTGATTTTTTTGTAATTGAATTGATTTCTTTGTAATTGAGCTACCGGATATAATAAACTCGGTTTTTTCAGTTTTTAATTTGATATATAGGTTTTGGCATTGTGACTAAACTTTATTAACCAATTCTTGTAAACCAGAAAGAGTAGGACTTAGTAGGATTATATCGTCTGCATAAGCTATAATACTGGTGTACACCCCACTTATCGTTGTTCCAACTTTGCAATCCGAAATAATTTGATTTAATATACTTTGAGTGTATAAATTATATAAATGTGGTGATAAAATGGATCCTTTTCGCACGCCTTGAGACAAACGAAAATGATTTGATTTATGCCCAAGGTATGATATACTAGCAGTACCCGATAGGTATAGTGATTGTAGTGCGCGAACTACTGATAGCGATAATTTTTTGTTGTAATAATTTTTTCAAACAACAATTCCCAGTTACAGCTATCGAAAGCCTTGTTTGCATCTAAACTACAAATATATATTGATGAATTATTGTTGTTGTAATATTTTATTGTTTCACTTAAAAGAAACTTTCCAAAAAGAGTGGAGCTATTATGTTTGAAGCCAAATTGGTGAGAGTGGCTATCTGATATTTCCGGACATTTTTCCATAATAATATATTCAAAGAGCTTTGTCAGAATTAGCACGATACTAATTCCACGATAGTTATCGGGATTATCAAGAGATTTTTTATAGGATTTCACTATTGGAACAATTACAGATGTTGATAGGTACTCCAGCACCGCTCCATTATTGAAGATATTGTTATAAAACTTTGAAAGCCATGTAAGTAGATTGTTGTTATAGGAGTATTTAAGATGTTCTGCAGTAATTCCGCAGGAATCACGTGATCTATTAGATCTAAGCTTAAGAATACAAGTTTCGATGTCGGAAGTTGATACAAGAATTTTATTAGGCTCATCAATGAGTTGTGGAATACGACGGTGTTTGTTGTTGTTGTTGGTAATTGTGGGAGTGTTGAGAATGGTACTAAAGTTTTGTTTAAATTCTTCTACAATTTCTTTTTTATCTTGTTTTTTATTAATAGCAAAAATACGAGTGTTAGGATTTGATTTAAATTTTCGGATATTGTTCCAAAATTTTGTGGATTACTTTTTCGAAGAGATTTAATATTTTTGGTGATTTTATTAATTTTTAAGTTGTAAGCCGCTTTTACAATTTTGCGGAACTTTTTTCGAGCTAGGTTGTACTTGTTAAATGAACTGCATTCCTGCGATCTACTAAAGTTATCTTTTTTCCATTCTTTAAAGTGGAGAGAGAGAATATCTTTGCACGATTTAATTTCTGGTGTCCACCATGATTTAGAGTAAGCTCTCGATTCTTTTTGTGGAAAACAGTCTTCCATTGCTAAAATAGCAGCGTTGTTTATTTTTTCACATGTTGTTTGAGATTGTTTCTCTATTTCTTCTCCAATAAAAGTGTAATCTTTGAAAAAATCGGAGAGATTCTGATTATAAATTTTAATAAAGTTATTATCATTCCATGCATACTTTGGGATTGTCTTATATTTTTTAAGAATACTATTTACAACTGGTGTTAGACTTTTATTTTGAAGATTAATATTTGTAGTGATGGGTAAGTGATCGCTCATGTTTAGATGCGAAGGAGGAATAACATGGCAGCCAGTAAAACATATTGATTATTCTTTTAGTACTGCAATGTGATCGATAAAAGATGAATTATTCAGCGTTTTATGTTTATAGGTATAGGTTGGACCAGTACCATTAATTATATCCACAAAAAAGAGCTCATTTAATTCAAGAAAATTGGATAAATACTTAGAAAAGTTATTTCGTGTTTTATTGTTTCGGATTTCCGTATCATATATATTTTCTGGAAATGACTGAAAATCGCCTGCAATTATACATTTTCCTTCATCTTCATATGTGTTAATGATGGAGTTTATCAAACTAAGTTGAGACATATATTTTTCTAAGGATTCAGAAGTATTTCTGCATGAAGTAAGATAAACTCCAATAAAAATAAAAACACTGTCGCCAAATTAATCTTTTATTGCAAGAATGTGTTCATTTTCGTGTATTACTTGAAGAGACAACGGTAAGCTTTTACGAATTAAAAAAGCATTTCTCCCAAAAGGTATTCCGTATTCTTTTTTTTCGGAAAAAAAATGTGAAAAAATAATTTATGTGTCGGAGCTGCTAGATCATTTAAAATAAAACGTTCAGCATTTGAAAGCCAATGCTCGGATATAAAAATCATATCGAAGGAGTTAATCAAGGTAGAGATACAACAGGTGTTTGATTTAATACTTTGACAGTTATAATAATTGTCCAATGCGCAAAGATTAGAATGTCCAATGCGCAAAGATTAGAAAACTCTCTCTTTTTTTTTCTGCTTATTTAAATTTGTCGTCGTTTTTCAAAAACAAACAAACAAGGCTTCTGAAAGAGGATTATATGATTTTATTATCAGAATTTTTTAGAGGTTTAAAACCTTTTTTACATCAAAGCATAAACAAGAATAAAAAATTCAAATAAATCGGGTTATAAATTGAAAACATCTAATCTAAAGGAGATCCCTAATGCTATATACAGGGTCAGACTAGCACTGAGGGGCCCAGGGGGCATTGATAGAACCCTTATGTAACAAATTTAGCAAAAATAAGTTAAACCCTTAATCACATAGTTTTTTGTTAAAATTTCTAATAACGTGCATGCCAATTTCCATATTTTTGACCATGTACTCCGTCCTAGTGTTGCGAAGGTAAAGTTTACCGGAAAATTTATCGGAAAATTTTCCGGTAAATTTACCAAAAATTTTTGAAAATTTACCGCCTGGTAAAAATTAAAATTTTTTTTCACTTTTTTTTTTTTAATTTTTTAAAGGAAAATTTACCGTTCTCTAATTAAAATTTACCGGTAAATTTTGAATCAAATTTTACTGGAAAATTTACATCACTACTCCGTCCATCAATTTATTCGACACGTTTAAAAAGAAAAATCCATATGCAATATTTTAAAAATATAGTAATTCTAATATGCCGTGTCGCACCACTTTATTTTCTGCACATTAAAACTTTTTAGATTAACCCATTTTACCGTATTTAAAGCTGAAATATGTTTACTAAGAAATAATGATATTTTAGGTAATTAAATCTCGAGCGCCGTTAGATGGCTTCTTATGAGCCAGAGCTTATTATTATAATTGTAACGTCTTAATAAAATAATCGTCGTTCGGAGGGGTCCAAAAATAATTTTGGACCAGCACATTTTTACCTCTCCAGGGCCCTGGGCTTGTATAAAATATATACGCATGACTCGATAAAAATACGAAATTTAATGTCTTTTTGTATTAAATTAATTTTTCAGTTTCTTACTCAAGATAATTTACTCTACCACTAATAAATAATAATATAAGGCGACGGCTCTTGTAAGCCTGCTTTACAATGTCTTTGTTACAAGGGCATTGTAAAGCAGGCTTACAAGAGCCGTCGCCTTATATTATTATTTATTAGTGGTAGAGTAAATTATGGTATACATACAAAGTTTGTATGTAAACATTTGTAAACATACAAAATTTTGTATGTTTTAAACATTTCATATGTTAATTGTAGAAATAACCATATTTATTGTATTGTCTTTGCAAAACTGATGCATATTAACAATAATTAGTTATTATTAATTTGTATTTTTGTGTGTTTTATTTGTGTATCTTGGTTTATAGTGTGGTTCAGGACCTTCAGACATAACAAAGGTCAAGGGGAAAATCCCCTCCAACCTCCCTCGCCAGTTCGACCCTGACTATATATAATAAAAAAGTTGGATCTTTTCGTCAGAGCCTATAAAAATATATAAATACAATATATATATATATATATATATATATATATTTATTTATTTAATATAGTTTAACAAATATTCATTATTCGACTTTGTTTAACTTCAATCGGTAAAGATAAAGGAACTTTGCCAATGCTTAAACAAAACCCTTTTATACTTGAAAAATTTACATTTTCTTCTCTATCTTAATAGTTTAAGGAATAAATAAGTTACATGGTACCAAGATCAATTTTAACTCTCATCAATTTTATTTCTGATTCGAATAATTTTTTGTTCATTTCTTTTAAATTGAATAACTATTAATTCTAAAAACTCAAGCATAAACATAAAATTTCTTCGCAAGTTGCATTTTTTTATACCTTGAAAATATATTTCATTCCATGTTATTTAGTAAAGTTTGGCCGAGACCTTTTATATATTATAATAACCAATACCATTACTTTTGTTCACAGAATATGAAAACTTTTAAGCTACCTTTTTCAAGTTAACTCCTAAAGTTCAAAAACCACCTAATTTTTGATGTAATCGTAAATTCATACGTTTGACATAATTAAATTGGCAGAAAATAAATGCTTTTAAATTTTCTTTTCTGTCTCTCTCACACAAACACACCAAAAATACATTTGCTGGTAGCCACTGTTACGGTGTAATCTTAAAATTAACTATATTAAGGTTTATCAAATACAAATTACCAAAATTAAAATTATTAAATTCTCAAAAAAATTTGAGACAGGTATACTTTAGCCACGCGTACAAAAAATAAAAATTCTTATTTTTACATTAGTAATCAATGTAATTAAGCGCCATAAAACTGATGATCACCGAATTTAATCTCAATTATACGAGTTTAAAAAACTATAATTTATTTTATTTATAAACAAAATACACGCCTTTTATATTCAATACTTTTTTTATATGGATTTATTAGTTTGCGTGAAAAAGACACAAAACTCTTTCCCTTTAGTTTAAACCTGTTCCATGTTTTATGTTGCTAGAAAGAGAATATGAAGTTTGGCGAAATTCGTAATTCGAGGGTTAATGTTACGCAATATAAACATTCAAATATATATTAAAGATTCAAGCTAAACATATTCAGGAATTGTCGGACTTTTAAGAGAAAACTTTTTTGGATATATTTGTGAAGACATTAACTCGCCATTTGCCGTGTATTTCTGTTGGTATAACTTTTTTGTTTCTTCTGCCTAAAGCAAATACAAACCCTATAAGAAAAAAAAGAAAAACAAAAAAATACGAAAAAACGCAAGACTCACATAATTCTGTCTTAACAATTCAAGTTTTTCAGCTTTCAGCGTTTTAATTTCGTCCTTTAACATTTCAATTTCAGTCAAATTATGAGCTAAATAAAACATAAAAGATATTTATTAAACTAAATATAAAAATATATAAAAAATAAATAAGTAATATAAAGTAAAATAGTAAATAAATAATATATACAAATTATATCAAAAAATAAAGAAGAAACAAGGATTAAAAAAACCTGCCAGAAATATATAATACTCTTACAAGTGTTATTGTTACTTTCAGCTTTAATATCCGCAGCAGATAAACCCTGAAAAAGTAAATTTTTTTTGGAGATAACATGAAAATACATAAAGTTAAGCTTTTAAATTATCTGTTAAGATTTCTGAAACCTTATTAAAGGTCCTGTTAAAAATTTAAAAACCTTTTATTTTGAATATCTCTCAAAGAATTCTTAGGTAAAAAATGACTTTCTTTTAGGTAACTTTTAAAGATTTCAAGTTACTTTATGTAACAAATGATTTTCTTTTAGGTAACTTAAAGGGCTTAAAGATTTTTTGTCTACAGTTTAATGTTTTAGACTACCAATTACAAAAAATAAAAAAAAATAAAAAAAGAAAAATAATAATTTATGGAAAGATTTTTATTTACAATTTGTAAATTACAACAAAATGTATTTACGAGGACAAACGCATTTACAGAAGCATTAAAATATTCCTGTGTTAAAAGCGATTTATCGACTAAAAATAGATACAATTGCATACACACATATATAAGTATATATACACATATATATATATGCATATATGTATATGTGTATATATATATATATATATATATATATATATATATATATATATATATATATATATATATATATATATATATATATATATATATATATATAAGATAAGATACAGACACACCAAATAAAAGGTTACAAAGAAATATTGTTTTGTACTCTTTTATTACAGTATGTTGGGTTTAATGTTAATACATACCATTGGATTATAATGATCACTTGATACATGTTGCGGTAGTGAATTTGAAACATATAAAGAGCTATTTAAATCAATAGCATCAAATAACTCATTTTTATAAAAACGAGAAATTGACTTGCTTTGTTGATCTTTCGTGTGGTCTTCTTTGGTTTGCAATAGAGGAGTGAAGCTGTAACTTTTTTCTGTAGAGTCATGATTTATATTTTGCTTATGTGTAGGAGGCTGACATTGGTTACTAAAAAGCATTAGATATTTGGTTCATTAAAAACATTCTTATTATGTATCATATTTTAGCAACTGTAATTTTGATAGAAAATAACAAAGTAACTTAGCAACAAGAGATGTTTAATCATCTATAACTTATAAAATGTTTATATAACAAAAACATTTATTACTTTTTCTCCTTTTTCACTTTTTTTTTATCTTCCTTTGTTTGCAATTTTTTTATCTAAAAATCATAAATTGTACAAAGTCAAAATATTATACTTTAGCAAAATATTTAAAATACATTTATATAACACTCATTTAAATACTGATGTAAAATACTTATATAACTTATATGAAGAATATAAGGTTTTTAGACAAGTTATTGAAGAATATAAAAGTTTTATACAAATTATCAAAAAAGGATTCTTATTAAGCAATTAAGAAAACCTTTATAAGAACTGAAAATCTTACCAAACCATCTTTCTTGTCACAAGAATTAATAAAACTGATGTCATTTAAAGATAAAGATACTCCTGATAACTTTGATGATGATAGTGAACCAGAAGAAGACGAAGAAATACTTCTTGCTCGAGAACTATTTCGAATTGCTGAGCGAAAAGAAGATAGTAAACCTGAGTTTTTCAAAGGAGCAAAACTAACAGAAGGTGATGAAGCAAATTCATCTGACAATAGCTTTTCATTTTTTGAAATCATATCACTGACAAGTTTTTGAAAAAGTGTAGTTCTAGTACGCCTCTAATACACAAAACATTTTGATTGGTAACTGATTTTTATACAAAAACTTGAAAACAATTTATTATAAAGACTTATTTACACTTACTGAAAGCTTTAAGAAATTTTCACTTTTAATAGCAGCTGCTTCTGCGTTTATAATTTTTGTGAGCAGGAATTCTCGAAACTCTGGTCCTTTTTTAAATATAGAAGGATCAGGTAATACAGGAGAAAACTTTGGAACTCCTCCTTTTGCTACAACTGATACCTTATAATAGGTAGAAGCAGTATTTGCCTCCTCAACTTGCACAACAATGAAAACATGAAGAAAATGTGATCTTATGGATGACGGGTTAAATGGAGTATTTTGATCTTGAAATATAATGGAAACAACATCATTGCCAATGTGACGCTTACGACCAATATTTTGTGTGTCTCTTGAACAAAATGGTAGCAGGGTTGAAACATGAAACATAATTTCTCTAAAAGTAATACAATTGAAAAAAAAAAATAACTTAGCAGGAAAAAAAAATAGCAGTTGTCTTCATTATCTTAAACATCTTTTAAAATAATTTTTACTTTTTTAAAATTATCTAAGTTACTTTTACGCTATTGTAAAACAAAATTAAAAGTAACTTGAATAATTTTAAAATAAATAAAAAATTTTACAAAGTTACTTACTTGTCTTGATATTCAGTATAGTAAGAATGGTTACCACTGAAGCCAGCTTTTGTGTCTAAACCACCGCGATATTTAGGAAAATCCTTAAGTTCTATACAGGTTCCCATCATGTCTAAAAACTCTCGAAAAGCTGTACTGTCATCTTGATTCTGCAAAAACTCATTCTCATTGACCTTAACAAATAATTTTTTAAAAAATTTAAACAAAAAATTCATCTTTGACCAAATTAAAATTTTAAAAAGTTAAAATTTCTTACCTGACCAAACTTCTGATAAATGACACCAATTTTATAGCAATTGGTTACTGAATGTTCATCAAACTTCATAGTTTCTTCACTAGCTCGAGGATATGCAATTGGATGGAACCGTTCAACATCAACATCATCATTCAATAAAAGCTAAACACCAAAATTCTATATATTATCCTATTTGTAAATTTATCGAATATTCACAGCACAATTACAGCATAACTTTTTTATAACTAATAAATTATTAAGTTTAACTAATTTCTTTGAAAATTCAAAAGTTTTTGTGAATGACATAGATAATAATTATCATAATGAAACATAAAATAAGTGATTTACAAAAATTATAAAATAACCATATTCAAAATATTTGAAATTAAAACTAATTTTAAGATTATTATTTACCTTTAAAAAATCTCTTGGTCCTGGCATATCATTTTCAAATTGACTAGCTTTAACAACTTCACAAATGCTTTTATCTTTTAACCGTAAAATGACATTATAATGATCTTCATCTTCACTTTTTACAGCTTTATCAAAGGCAACTGACAGCAACACTTCTCCATGTTTTCCATCAATGGCAGCAAAATTTATATGTTCCTAACAAATTTCATCAGTTTCATTTAAAAAAAAATTATTTCTTCAAAAAAATCTCATTAAATCAATAAACAAATCAGGATCCTGGTAAGGAATATAAATTATCTACATAATTATGGATGCTAAACAAGCAAATTGATCATCATTAAAACACACCAAATTGCATATATTGCAGTTCTCAATAGAATACTAAACTTGTACAAATAAATATTTTATTAAAATAAATAATTTATAAACATGCATACACACACTACAAGCATTACATGCATCATCTGCATGGTATTCTGTCAATTTTATATAACCATTAGAACTTTCTAAATGTTTTTTTACAAGTATATTTATGCATACAAACTAATATAGTTGATATGTTAATATAATAATATTAGTATTTATATAATTAATATTATAAATTTATACCAAAAATACAAACTAATTATTTATTTTTACTATATCATTTTTAAGTAAACAAAAACAAAAAAATAATAATAATAATAAACTAAGTTAAAAATGCTAAAATATCTTTGAGAAGAAGAAGGTTAAAAATTTTTATTTCATTTTTTGATTTCAAAACTTGTAAATAAAACAACAAAAAAAATAACAAAACAAACAATACAATTATATAATCAAATTAAAGATTTAAAACAAACTTCTATAACACCTTCATTTTCTAAAACTTCTGAAAAAAAAATTTTTTAAACTACTTTTTATCAATTGTAATAAAATGAAAAATATATTTAAATTTTTTCAAAACTAAATCAGGGACCTAGTAATTACCAATACTGTAAAAAGTTAATTTTTTTTATATGTATTTTAGGTTATTACAGAATAACTAAGATTTTTATAAAATATATATTTATAAACACATGGATAACTATAAAAAAATAACAGTATAAGAATTTTTTACCTTTTTTGTAAACTGTAAATACAATATTTACAATTGATTTACATAACATAATTAAAATAACTAATAACTTGTTACTTTTTTCACCTTAGCAACACAAATGTCATAATATTTATACTTATAACTCAAATAAATATCTTGTTACCAAACACATAAAAACTTCATATCATATCATATAAAATATATATTATGCAATAGGTTCTAGCATCATATATTATGCAATAGGTTCTAGCATCTATATTTTATAGCATGTATATCTATTAGCAACTATTAAAGATATATAATCTTGCATTTCATATCCATAAGCATTATGAATCTTGCACATCTATTATTAACAACTAATTATATATGCCATATATCTAACCATTTATATATATATATATAATATATATATATATATATATATATATATATATATATATATATATATATATATATATATATATATATATATATATATATATATATATATATATATATCAAACATAAAATATAAATTTGACTTCACCTTTCCAAAAAAACATTTCCTGTAGTTATAGACAGAATCATTTTCAGTTAGGTTACATTTAGTCATATCTATCGTTGGAAATATAGGATATTTATCCGCATTTCTGAGTGAAACATGGCTATTGCCCTCCATCCAATATTCTCCATTTGCTGGAAGCAAAACCATTGGATACGGTGGTCCTCTTTCAAGAACCTAACAAAATAATTTAAAAATAAATCAAATACAATGCAACAAAATTGATAACTTAAATTAAATGTTATTTTAAAAAAATTTTAAATATTATAATATTTAATATATACTTTATTAGAATTTAAGTAATTGTGTTTAAGTCAATAATAGTGCTATTGTATTACAAATAGTAAAAAAAAAAATTACAACATTTTAAACAATTTATAATTACTTCTTATTATATTATTATTTGAAAATATTTAAAACCTGCTTAACAGAATTATCTTCATCACAACTAACAGTTGGTGATTTAATTTCCATGTTTAACTGCTGATGCTGTAATAAATTATACAAGAAAACATTTTCTAAACAAATTTACAAAATATATTCTTATATATATATATATATATATATATATATATATATATATATATATATATATATATATATATATATATATATATATATATATATATATATATATATATATATATATATATATATATAAAAAAGGTTAGATGAGAAAAAACAACTTTTTTACGGTACTTAAAGTTTCATGCCGGCTGTTACGGCACTCATCAGCCATATATTTAAATCAAGAAAGAACCGTTCGAAAATACAATTCAAAAACCGTTACAAAGTTCAAAAAAAACAATGTATTGAGTTCTGATGTCAAATAATAATAATAATAATAATAATAATAATAATAATAATAATAATAATATAAATAATGATAATAACAATAATATGGAAAAAACATCTTTTCTAATCGCCAGTGTCAAATTGAGAAAGGAGGGATCTGTTTCTATGTCTGCACTTAGAAACAATTTCACTCATCTTATTCAGTAGATTAGTATTTTTATAATGTAGGATTTCATATTTTTCGGTGAGATATAATTTACAAGATGTTGGATTATATGCTTTACATCGCCTAAGAATTTTCCACTTAACTATAGGAACTAAATTTGCTTCTTTTAACTTCCATACCTGCTTTGAGAGCTCAGTATCATTTTTTTATTTAGAGATATTAAAAATATAACGTGATTAGTGTATCTTAATTAAAAAAAAATCTCATTTATACCAATGTAGGTTTTGATACTTGGTTAAATGTAGGTACTATGTTGGTTAAATGTAGGTACACTTGGTACAATGTAGGTTTTGGTACTCACTTACACCAAATGTAGATTTTTCATTAGGAGATGAATCATATATATATATATATATATATATATATATATATATATATATATATATATATATATATATATATATATATATATATATATATATATATATATATATATATATATATATATATATATATATATGTATGTATGTATGTATTATATATATATATATATATATATATATATATATATATATATATATATATATATATATATATATATATATATATATATACATACATAAAAAAATAAAAATAAGTTAAAGTGAATAAAAAAACTTAAATGGAAAAAGAAAGTATTGTAAACAAATAATATATACAAATCCGAAAAAATCACAAAAAAAATCCACCATTAAAAAAACATCAAGTAAATGCTACTTAATCACAATAGCAAAGATTATCATGGTATTAACTGTATTGTTTAATTCCTTTTTGTATTACAATATTTACGACAATTGAAAAATTAGTATTCATAATTGACATTAAAATACTAGAAAACTGATTTCAAAAAATGCTTTTGGATTTTTTAAAACAAAAGCATAACTATTTTTTATTTATGAACTTATATATTGTTTAATATTTATAATTTTATTTATCATAAACAAAATGTTTTTAATTTAAATGCAACATAAATATCTCATGGCATTTGTTAATAACCATTAAGTGTCTTTATAACTATTTATGTTAATAAATACATTAACATTTCAAAACATTTAAATTATAATTTATGATTTTTATTGCAAACATAAAAATAATTATTTTTAATACTTTAAAGGTTTAAAAAAAAAACATATTGAACATGGACATATATTAATATAATAATAACCGACATAACAACTAAATATATTGGTAATGATTGGATAAAAATGATTGGATAAAAATAGCAAGTGAAAAAAGTGATTAAATAAAAATAGTATTTGAACAAACAAATACAAATCTTATATTAATATTAAGAATATTAATATAAGATTACAAATCTTATATTAATAACAAGAATAACTTGTTCCATCAGATTCTCAGGTATTTAAACTAGGAATTTCAACCAAATTGAGTGAATTAGTATTAGACTCTTATAGTTTTTAGAAATTGGATATAAAAATATCCTTTAACATTTATTTCTTAATTTATTTCAAAATGTTTTTAGTCAAATAAATTTAAATTAATACCAGGTATAAAAGTCAACCATCTTAGACTACCAATTTTTGTCATCATCAAAAAAAAACTTTCAATTCAATCATAAAGTAAAAATATTTTTAATTCAAGTAAATCATAAAAGTACCAGCATAGTATTGAGTTATACGAAACTTGGTTATACAAGTAAATATTTAAACCTACATTAAAATGGCAAATCATTCAAGTTAACTACTACATAAAAACTATGATATGATATTAACAAGATTTGTTTTCTTTTATATAATATTACTGTAGAAATTTAACAAAATAAAATAGTTTTAAAAGACAATAACAATACTTCAGGAACTAAACTCAATATGTTATATAATTTAATTAATGTACTATAAATCCAAATTCAATATAGTTTATCAGTATATTATATTAATCACCTAATTAACAATTAATAAGTAAAAATAAACTGATAAATTTATTTATCAACATCAAATACAATTTATTAAATTTGCAATAAACAGGGAAATTTTATTTGTTCTTGATATTCTATGCTCAGAAAACAGTTTTTAGAATAATAACTTTTTCTTTATTTTTAATAAATTTACAAATATAAAAATATAGTAAAGTGTAATAGAATTGTAAATATATATATATATATATATATATATATATATATATATATATATATATATATATATATATATATATATATATATAAAATAATAATCTTATGCTTATTTAAAATTTTTAGATATTTACTATTATAATTACTTGCACAAAATTAAAATAATTTAAAAAATAAAAACTTTTCTTTAGTAGAGGAAAAAACAGTGAGAAAGACTTTGTGTTTCGGATAAAAAAAAGCTTTCTTTTTATTTCATCATTTAAACTATGTGCAACATAAACTACTGTCAAAATGTAAAACCAAATCTGCAATAAATATAAAATTAAAAGTATTTTTATTTTATTTACAAATAATTCAATTTGAATTATTTATAATTCAAATTGAATTATAAATAATTTGAATATTTTTAAATTAACAATAAATATTCAAAATTGATTTAAAGTGATGTCTAAAAATCTGTTGCTTTTTATTGTACTTTTTTTTTTGGTTTTAAAAAGACAATTATAATAAATATATTCAAATTAAAATAATTTATATTACCATATGAACAATTGGTAGGCATCTTATTAAATAAAGCAAACATTAGTTTATAACAGACATAAAATACAACACCTAGTGCACAGTCTTTATACACAAAAAGAAGTAACTTTGACTTACTTTTAAAAGTAATGGTGGCATAGAAGTTCTTTGTTCATCAAGTCTGCCACCCTACAGAATAGAAAATTTTTTATAACAAGCTTACTTCTTTTTATATTTTTGATAAAATTACTGATAAAATTATTTCATAAAATGATGAGGTGTTAAAAACATGCTTAAGGTGTCTGAAAAAGAGTAAAGAAAAAAAAAAAAAAATTAAATTTAAAAGTATGAACAAAATGTTGGGAAAAGAAAGAGGTGTTTAACAGAAAAATTAAAAATTTCTTACATCATTTTTTTGTAAGTGAAAATTTTGTTTTCCCATTATATATTTTTACTTTTTAGAGTTAATGGAACATTTAAAAAAATAACAATATCAAAATAAATAATGGGATATTACATGACATCACCTCTTTTTTTATTGATTGAATACATTTATAAATTGTAAATGGAAATATCTTATATATTCAAGGTAACACTTAGATAACATGTATACACAACATTAACTGATAAAATGATAAATAGCGCCTGAACAGAAACAAAACTCTGTGTTTATTTATTTATGTTTATTTAATGTGTTTACTTAAAAACATTAATCACATGTAGTATACCAGTTCATATACATAAAAAATAAATTAAAACAAACAAAAATATTTTAAATTATAATTGAAATCCATTAGAACATATGAAAATCAAAAGATCACAAAGATTAATACTGAAATTGACTAACTAAAAAAATGTTGTATATATATATATTTTTTTTCTCCCAACAAAACCAATTATATTTGATAATATAACAACTATGTTGACAAAACATCATTCAAATAAAAAAATTTTATGACGTTCGATAAAAAAAGTAATGCTGACCTGAAATCGGAGAACTTGATCTAAAAATTTATCCTAGAAAAAGTTTGAGAAAAAAATTTTTATTTTGTGTATATATCTTTTAAAACATAAAAACAATAGTACAACTTTTTAATGAACTTTTTTTAGAATAACATTGCAGTGTTTACTTTAACAGATGTCAATTGTTTGACAGGAAATATTGTAATAAAATAAAACTAGATAAAAGTAAAACTAAATAAAACAATAGGTAAACAGCACCTTAGATATAAAAATAGAACAATAACTTCAGATTAAAAAAAAATCATACTAAAAATTAGTATATAGTACAACACTTAAAAAAACTTTCTTATGTAAATAATTGTTTTTCACTGTAGTCTTTTATATCTATAAAAAATGTGAATAAAAAAAATTCAAATATTTCTTAGATTTTTATAATTTTAAAATCAAGTTTAAATTGAATTAAAAGTATATTGGAACTATAAGAAAAATGTCTTTTGTGTATTATAATATATAAAATAGTCCATTCAAAAGGAGAAGTTATGACATAATTTCCTTATTTAAGTTCAAAAAGCTTAGTAAATAATAAAGAAATTTTAGTTACAAAATTTAATGAATTTCTTATGTTCCAGACAAGGATGAAACAAATTTAATGAATTTCTTATGTTACAGACAAGGATGAAACAAATGTAATGAATTTCTTATGTTCCAGACAAGGATGAAACAAATTTAATGAATTTCTTATGTTCCAGACAAGGATGAAACAAATTTAATGAATTTCTTATGTTACAGACAAGGATGAAACAAATGTAATGAATTTCTTATGTTCCAGACAAGGATGAAACAAATTTAATGAATTTCTTATGTTCTAGACAAGGATGAAACAAATTTAATAAATTTCTTATGCTCCAGACAAGGATGAAATTTTCTTTGACTTCTGCTTCAGTTGTTGATTTTTAAAATGTTTTTAGTCTAGAAATGTTCTAACTAAAAATCAAACTGAGAAAATCTCAAAATGAAGTACATCAGAATGAATAAGCTATTTTATAAAAGTTGGTGTGAGGAGGAGGAAATCTAGCAAACTTTGGGGGCTACAGTACTTAAAACAACTGAGGGTTTGGGCAGGTACTATACAAATATAACTTGATTTAATGCAAAAAAATAATAATAATAAAAATTCTGTGTCTATTTATCTTAAACAAAATAGAAAAAAGTGCTTGTCACCTACAAACATCATACCAATAAACAAGCAATATGAGAAAGTTTTTGTTCATAAAGAAGGGTAAAATTGTCTGCATCAACATTATGGAACCAAACAGAAATAAACAGTATATATACATGTATATATATATACATTTTTTTTTAATTTTATTTGCCGTATAATATTATTTACACTAAGATTTATATATATATATATATATATATATATATATATATATATATATATATATATATATATATATATATATATATATATATATATATAAATATATATATATATATATGGGCTTTTCCAGGAGAATGAGGAAAATTAAAAAAAAAGCGAAAAAGTTATGAAAATACATACTCTATAACCTTTTACAAACTCCATAACCTTTTTTTTTAAGTATTTAAAAATAATTTTGAGCAAAAAAGTTATAAAAAAAAAAAATCATTTTATCATACATAAGCATGGTTTTAAAATTGTAAGGGTTATATAAATGTATTTTGACGTTTATTTGCAGTCCTGTTGTGAAGTGTTAAAAATTGTAAAGCTATAATTGAGTACTTTGATAATGTTATAGTGCATTTCTTTAACATAATTTACATGGTTTTAAATATTCAAAAAAAACATATAAATGCTTGTAAAACTTCAAGTCTGACAAAGTTTTGTTCAGAAGTGGTAAAAAGTAAACATTACGATCATTACGCTACTTAGATTAAATTTAAAAAAAAGTTCAAGACTTTAATACCATTACTTTTGCATATTAAATTATATGATAGTATTTCACATTTCTGGAAAGTTTCAAGTCATTTCCATATTCAGTTTATTTTTAATAGCTTAAAGAGTGTCAAATGTTAAGACTGTCACTCTCGCAGTATCTCTCACATATATATATATATATATATATATATATATATATATATATATATATATATATATATATATATATATATATATATACACACACAAAAAAACACATAAATAACTTCAACAATTTAAAATATAAATAAAATTTAAAAATAAAAAAACAACCTGTTCGAGATCAAAAATAGGTATTTTTTTTATTTGATCTAACTTTTTAACAGTACAATCTTTAGGACTTAAACTATCTGATGCTGATGTAGAACGAGCTAAAAATAATTATATATATATATAAAATAATAAAACAATTATTAAAACATATGTATAAGTCTATTTAGAGATTTTAATGCATTTCATGTATATAATAAATTATTATATATATATATATATATATATATATATATATATATATATATATATATATATATATATATATATATATATATATATATATATATATATATATGTATATATATATATATATATATATATATATATATATATATATATATATATATATATATATATATATATATATATAAGTATACAGGGGCTATTCTAGACCATTTTCTACAGCGTCGACCCTATTTGGGCGCCACCCAAATTAAAATTTGAAGACTTTTTATTTTTTATTTTTTTATTTTTTTCCTCAGGCAAATATTGTTTTTTTTGTGCAAAAAAACGCCTATATACAGCAAATGGAAGGAGGAGGGAGGGGAAGCCCACCCAATATATATATATATATATATATATATATATATATATATATATATATACATATATATATATATATATATATATACATATATATATATATATATATATATATATATATATATATATATATATATATATATATATATATATATATACATATATATATATATATATATATATATATATATATATATATATATATATATATATATATATATATATATATATATATAGACCTTGGGAGTAAATGAGTTCAAGAGCAGAGAAAAGCTCTCCTAAAATGAACATGGCAAGCCATGCAAGTTACTCCTCTAAACAACTTTATTCTAGAGCTTTTGGTTTTTATAAATACAAAATTTGATTTTATACTTGTTATAAGCATATGCTTGTAGCATTAATGTTACAAGAATATATACATAACGAGTGTCATTTATCCTGCCATGAAAAAATTCTTTAGACAAATATTTTTACACTTACTTGATAAACAAACAATGAGCTTTTGATTTTGACAAGAATTTGACAAACAAAGAGCTATAAAAATTTTTACTGCTCATAAAAAATGTTTTATATTTTTTTATTGTAATAAAATGCAGAAATTTTAAGAATTATTAGAACAGTTAAAAATTCCACAATAAAAGTGATTATATTTTATTTCTTTAGTAGAACATTTAATTTTCATTATATTTATTTATTTTGCTTGAATTAAGGCAAATTTATATTATTCAATTTAATCAATATATAATTCATTACATAAAATAAAAATTATTATGCAATAATTTAGAGTGTAATAATTTTATCAGTTTATATTTTATCAGTTAAATAGTTTTATATTTTATTATTATAATTATAATATCAGAAGCCTGAGAGGAAATCATGTATTTTAAGGGAATGCCAAAAATTTTGTTGTCCAAGATAGGTAACCAAGAAAAATATTTAAATTATTTAAATTTCTAGAATATTATTAAATAATGGTGATGGATGAGGATGACTTGCAAATGAAATAATTGCAACTCGACCTTGTCCCAACCCCTAAGTGCTCCTTTCCTAGAAATATGTCTTGAAAAACTACACAATTTTTTTAAATGATTTTTTTTTAAAGACCAAAGTTCATTAACAGATTATAAATTTCATACCTTTTTTTTAAGATTTATGACTGTAAAGTTTAAATTTCTCCTCATTTACAGTTATTACTATTATTTGAGTTTAGTCATTATTACTGCTTTAATTATTAACAATTAGCAACAGCTAACTGTTGCTAATTGTTAGTAATTAACTTCACTAATTAAAATTTGCCATAATTTGCTGATAATTTTAGGTAAATTAAATATTTCCTTTTTAAGTTTACACAGTATCTAAAAATCTTAACTTTAATTGGTTGGAAAACAAACAGCAATATCAAAGCACCCTTGTCTGTTTTACATGACCTAATCTCCTGTCTTTAAAAAAGCTGACTATTATTAATGGTAAATTAAAAAAAGCAAAAATGTTCACAAATGTTGTTAAACTCTTCTTATTATTCAAAAATAAAATTTAAAACTGAAATATATTATAACAAGGGAAAAATATAAAAGATTTTGTAGACAAAATTTTAAATGAAGTTGAGATTAATTTGTTTGAAAACAAAGTGTGTGGGTTGAAAACAAAGAGTGTGGGTTACAGTTTGTCAACCAATATCTGTCTACAACATCTCCAGAGTCATAGGCTAGCACTGATTGGAAGGAAATGCTTGCAATAAGCTGCTCAAAAAAATAGACAGCTATAAGCTGTATTTGTTTTTTCAGGAGTCCAGTTTTAGAGTTTATGCTTAGACTGGGTGGCCATTCAAATTTGAAAATGAAATTACATGACTTTTCCATGACATTTCCATGACTTTTCATAAACTTTTATGATAAATCACTAGAGTACAAGATTCAGTACTTGCCATCCACTAAGCATTTGCAACTTGGTCATTATAAAACATGCAAACCAAAAATGAATTGGTAGAAAGGTCTGAAATCATGTCTTAAAAAAACTTTTTCTTTTACTTCTCTGATAACTTACACTGCAAAAATATCTTTTTCAAAAAAGACTTAGACTAGACATCCTAATACTTTTCTTCGCAAGTAGAAAAAAATAAAGATAATTTTCAAAAGCTCCATGAATTTTCCATGACTTTCAATGAAAATTTAGGAATTCCATGACCTAATAAAATTCCATGACATTCCATGATTTCCATGATTTCCATGACCAGTGGCCACCCTGTTAGGGATATTGAAAAAATTGTCTATGACTGTTTTGTTATAGGTTTTTCAAAATAATTAAGCTCTACTACTACTATGTCAAGGATGTTATTAAATTATTTAAAGGCTGTAATTGTTTTGAGGTTACATTTACTTAAGTAACATATTATTGAATTCATTGACATGAAGAATGGAGTCTTCAGTATAATAATTAACTTTTAAATATGATCAAAAATTATTAATAATAATAATAATAATAATAATAATAAATGTTTAGTGTCTATTACAACAGTTAAATTGTAATACTGATTGATATGAAAATATTAATAATAATCTAATCCATCCAAAGCCTTTAAGGTAAGAAATTTGATTTTTACAGTAATAAAATGATTTTAGCGAATCCAACTCAACCCATTAAAGTCCTAACTCAGGGTATAGTTCCTAAAAGACCTGTTCAATTTTTTTCGAACTAAAACAAAATTCATCAATAAATTTTGCATTTTAACTAAAAAAAGTTCTCAATAAAAAGTTAAAACCATTCAAAGTTATTTATGGGGTAAATGAAGGGAATTTTAAACTTCACATGGTCATAAACTATAAAGAATGAAGATAATTTGATGAAATTTGTTGATGAATTTGATCTAGTTTATGAATTTTTTTTTGTTTTGTTGCTTATTTAAATTTTAAGAAATGTATTTCTAGGATGACAGCATTTGGGTTTGGTAAAAGGGTTGGGTTAACTCTAACCGTATAAATATTTTGCATCTTTATTCAACACAATAATTTATCAACTTATTAGAAACTTAAGTATGTCTCATGCTTCTTAATTATTTATCTTGAACAATGAAATTCCCAGATGTAATTTCTCTACAGGGGCAAAAAAGTTATTTTTTAATGAGGAAGAGTTTTCTGATAGTTAATAACAAAAAATTCTGGGGATGTGTTGCATGGTCTTGGTTCTATGCACTGCACTATATAATTGCTCTATTACTGCATAACTCAATGAGTTCAAAGAACTTTAAAGTTTGTTATTTATGCAAATAGTTTATATATTTATTGCAAAAATCAAAACTAAATACAAATATTTGTTGTGAGTAGTTGTAAATTGTTTCAAAAAAAGTTATACATTTAGTTTAATTTGTCATTCTGAAAATAATGTATATTATGGTGGGTCATAAAATATTTTTTTAGAGTTGCTAACCTGGCTATGTTCTAGAAAGTTGTTTTTTTATGTACTAATTTAGGAAAGTATTTACTTTTATGAATTGAACAATGTCTTCCAACCGCAACTATAATTACAAAAATTAGCAGGCCCTATTATTATTCAAAAAAAAAATTTTTCAAAATTATGTGACGTAGGTACTCAAAAAAAGCGAAATTTTATAAAAATTTCAAAAATAATAATTTTTTTCATATAAAAGTTATTAATTTAGATTTTATTGCATAATAACTATAGATTTTTAACTAAAAGTGAAAAAGGTGCATTTTTACATGTTTTTCAATAACAATTTTTTTCGGCAATATGATTTTTATAAAACAATTATTATTTTCGAATTTTTTATAAAATTTCGCTTCTTTTGAGTACCAGGTTGACCTACTTTTGAAAACTTTTTTCGCTTCTTTTGAGTACCAGGTTGACCTACTTTTTCTCCAAAATATTAGGGTACCGGTAATTTTCCCAATAAAGTTGCGCCCTTTAAATCTATCACAATCATTCTCATATTTGATAGTAACAATATTAATAACTATTAGTAATGTTTAGAACCTGTAACAAGAAAAAAATTTTTTTTTTGACCCACTCTAATGTATATATCATCAACATCCACCATACCATAATTACACGACTATCACCACCATATCATATTTGCATAATTTTTTTTCCACCAAACTTAAGTTGAGTGAAACACACTTTACCTTAAAGTAAATTTAGATTGATTTTAGTGATTTATACTTTTGTTTCTTTTTTTTTTTTGTTTTTTGTTTTTATTATGAAAAAGTTTGTTTTTATTATGAAAAAGTATGTACTGCACAGTAGTTTTGTCAATTATGTATTACAAAGCCTGTAATGGAGTATTACAAGGAATTTACAAAGTACAAAGGAATAAAATTTGCCATTTTTTTAGAGATTAAGAACCTCTATAAACCATTATTTTCAGCATTAGAAAAAAAGTTGTGAAAGTGTGATAATCTTGCAAGGAAGGAACTTAATGATTATCATTTTTGATTTTGTAATATATAAAAATGAAAATGATTATTATTAATAAAAGTCGACCTTTATACTTTGATTAACTTTTATCCAACTCAGAACTAATTATATTTCAGTGCAACAAACTAACTATGTTTCAGTGCAAAGAATTAACTATGTTTCAGTGCAAAAAACTAACTATGTTTTAGTGCGAAGAACTAATTATGTTTCAGTGCAACAAACTATGTTTCAGTGCAAAGAATTAACTATGTTTTGGTGCAAAAAACTAACTATGTTTTAGTGCAACAAACTAACTATGTTTCAGTGCAAAGAATTAACTATGTTTCAGTGCAACAAACTAACTATGTTTTAGTGCAAAGAACTAATTATGTTTCAGTGTAACAAACTAACTATGTTTCAGAGCAAAGAATTAACTATGTTTCAGTACAAAAAACTATGTTTCAGTGAAAAGAACTAATTATGTTTCAGTTACAATGGTACATTGTCTACTGGTCTTTTTTTAGAAAAGCAAAATTTGTTAAGATAAAAAAGAGCAAGTAACTATCAAATTAATAAACACTGAAACAATCCTTTAAATTAAAATCCTTTTTATAAAAAAAAAATCTCAATAAATTTCATAAAAAATTTATAGGATGAAACTTTATTGATTTAAAATAAAAAATTTTATGTAAGTTACACTTTAAAAAAGTAAAACTTACCAGGTAACAAGGTAGAGACACCAGAAAAAGATCGTTGCAAAATTTGGTCAGATTTTGATTTTTTCATTTTCCCTTGTTTCTTTTCAGGTTGTACCTCTGTTTGAAAGTAGCACGACAAACGCTTTGCAAAGCTTATATCCACTATATAAAAAATACAACAAAATAAAAAAAATAAGAACTAATATATATATATATATATATATATATATATATATATATATATATATATATATATATATATATATATATATATAATATATATATATATATATATATATACATATATAATATATATGTATATATATATGTATATATATATTTATATATATTTATATATATATGTATAATATATATATATATATATATATATATATATATATATATATATATATATATATATATATATATATATATATATATATATATATATATATATATATATATATATATATATATATATATATATATATATATATATATGTATATATAGCCAAGTCATGCATGGTTACTAGTATTTAACAAAAAAATTTTTTAATAATTTATATGTAATAAAAGTTTCGGTTTGCTGATTTGCAGAGTTAAAGAATAATGTGTTTAAAAGTTACAGAGTAGAAAACTTTGTACATGAGAATGATAGTGTAAAAAAATTTAAACAAAAACTTTTGTACCTTATATATTTTTTTGTAACTTTAATTTTTTTTTAACACTAACATTAAAAAAGTCTACACCTAAAATGCCCTTTTAAGATTACAAAAGTAGATAAATAAATAAACTTGTTTCCTATATAAAACAAAACAAAAAGCAAATTAAAAAAAAAAAAAAAGTTAACAATACCAATTATCAATAATCAACAATATAATTAATTACAAAATATCAAGCAAATGAATAGATAATTTTATTCTTTATTCAACAAAAAAAAAAAAAAAAAAAAAAAAATTTTTTTACTAATATTACTTAAGTTTCACAAAGTCCTCACAAGTGCGCATAAAAATAATCAATTGTGTACACAACTAACATAGAGCATGCCAAGCTAACTTCTTTTATTATTTTTATTTTTATTAATTTTTGTTGTAACCTATATTTAAAGTTGTTTAATAAATAAAAATAAATAAAAGTATTTTAAGTAATATTAAAACATATAAGTCAGATTTTATTACAATATTAAGACATTTAAATTAATATTATTATACAATTAATATTAAGACATATTTTAAGTAATATTAAGACATATAAACTAATAACCAACACAATAGAATATCTTATCAGAAACAAACAAAAAATTAATAATTAGTTAAGTTAATAATTGGAGTAAACATAAAAAATAAATAACAGAAAATAAAAATTTAATAAGTAAAGTAAATTTAGAAAATAACACTTTGAATAATAATAAAAAAGAATATAAATCAGGAATGCAATATTTTAATTTTACAATTTTTTTTACCATTTTAATAAACAAAAGCTATAATTTGAATTTGAACTTTAAATTGAAAATTTTTTTTTTGAAACTTAAATGTATCAATTTTAACTCTGTATGCTAGGATAAAAAAAGTTAGAGTGATGGAGACATGTTATAAAAGAGTCATTTTAAAAATTAATGATATTACAAAAAACTTTTTAATTAACTTCCTTGTCATAAAATAGAAAATAGTTGGATCACCTACACAAACAATAAAGCAATTTGAAAACAAATCAATAATATACAATAATATCCTGTTGATATAATTAAATATTAACGTCTTTATATTTAAACTTTTCAACCTTTATATAGCTGCTTAAAAATTCAAGTAAAAAATCTGTTAAGTATTTTTTAAAGGAATTTCAAAATCATTTCAATAAATTTAAAAGAAAAAAAAATTAAAAATAACTCAAAATATTAAATTGGCATTCATCTTTGCATTTACATTAATCTAAATTACATTTGCATTTACATTATTCATTGAATGTTTACATAAAAGTATAAATAAACCATGTGATTGGATGGCTCCTTTTATTGATTTTATATTATATAAAACAAAATCCAAGGTCATTATAGATACATAAAAAAAAAACAAAAAAAAAAAAACATCCAAAAAATATTTATTCAAAAATGTTTTGACCTTTATTCTAAAGACACCATATAATATACAAGTAATTATTTTAATTAAAATTTAATACTTATTTTTAATTATAGTTATTAAAATTGTTAATAATATTGTTTACATTTTAATATTCTAGATTTGCTTTAACAACTAATTAAAAAAATAATGAAATATTTTATTTCAACCAGTTATTAATGCAAATCAAAAGTTATTAATGTATATCAAAAATTAATGCAAAATATAACTAACAATTAAAATTTTAATTATTAATTATATTTTGTTTTAATATTTAGTAAAAGATTTGCATAAAATTTTTTAATACAATTTACAAAAAACATTTCACTAAACATTAAAAAATATATGGAAAAACGTATAGACAAAAGCTTGAACTTAGTTCATAGTTTCATAAACTAAGTGTAAAACTAATATCAACAACAAAAGATATCATTGTTTAATATGTTATTTAATGGTTTTTTTAAAGTTAGCAGAAATACATAAAAATTTACAAAAGGCAAACATTGCTGTATTCCAATATTTGTTTAGATTATAGCTTTTACCAGATCAAATAAAATTTTATGAAAAAAAAGTGTAGAAAAGTATGCTGAGATTTGAAAAAAAACTCATTTTTCATACATATGCAGCTTTTTATATTCTTATCAAATTAACAACTAAATTGTTCATATATTGAAATAACATAAAAACAGTCTACAATGTAGATTGTTATTCTCTAGACTACATAAAAAGAAAAAACTCATTTCAATTTTATTAAACAATTAAATAATTTTTTATGAAATCTTTTGAATGAAACCTTTAATAATAATAAAAAAAACTACAACTACTTTTTATAGTCAAACAGACATATGACCATTACTCTATTAAATAATCAATGTACATTAACTTAACAGTAATAAAAGAGCAAATCAAAAAGAAAAAAAGATCTCTTTATCTAAAATATTAGGACTTTTCCTCCTTACTAAATGAGGTATCAACACATTCGCCACGTAAAATTATGTTTTTCTATATTCTGGAAAGCTACACATTGTTAATATTAAAGCAGTAAAGCACTGATGATTGCTTTATCTATTCATCATTCATTCTGTCCATTAAACATTTTGGCAAACTTTATTTTAATCAATAAAGTTTTAAATTTGATTACCATATATTTAATTTCTGATGAATAAAGTAGATTTAAGTTTGTTTTTTTTTATTACCAATTCTATTAAGGTTTCCATAAGAAAAATAAAATGAAAATCTTATTTAACAAAAAATTGAAACATTCAGCTTTAAATATTAAAGAAATGAAAAATTAAAATAATTTAAGACGAAAGTGCTTGGTGCTTGATTGTAATTTTTTACTAGTTTTTTTAAGTTTTTATGTGGCAATTATTTTCTTGTGCTTATATATATATATATATATATATATATATATATATATATATATATATATATATATATATATATATATATATATATATATATATATATATATATATATGTATATATATATATATATATATATATATATATATATACATATATATATATATATATATACATATATATATATATATATATATATATATATATATATATATATATATATATATATATATATATATATATATATATATATATATATATATATATATATATATATATATATATATATATATATATTCGAGAGTATTGTATACATACATAAGATAGGGGTGTGACACCCCCTTCCCCCCCCCCCCTTAATATTTATTCGTTCATTTAGTGACCCTTTTTGACTAGTTAGTCGGCAAATGTAGACAAGTTAGTCGGTAAATTTAGACAGTCGGCAAATGTCGTTATGACAGTCGGCAAATTTGAAAAAACGAGTTTTTTTTTTTTTAGTCGGCAAAAAATGTAATGGGACCCCCCTACCCACGTGACACCTACTCGCGCCGGCCCAGAATACATATTACTTTTTTTTTTATATTCGAGTGCAGTGTTATTATATCATCTATTTTAATAAAATTTTTAGTTTTACATATTAATATGTAATATAATAATATAATATATTATATACTGTAATAAATACATAAATACTGTAATAAATATTTAATACTGAGTTCTCCGTTAAATCACCAATGAAGATATATTTCATATTACATGACAGATATATTCGTAGCACAGATTTAAGTTCTATAGTAAGAAAAATTCATTTAAGTTAAAGCTTTAGCTTTAAAACTTTTAAGGTTGTTTTTTCAACATTTCACAACTTTTATTAGGAGTTACGAAATGTAGCCAGGATTAGTATTTGAAAAAAAGTTTGACTGGCGCCAACGGATCCTAAATTCGTTATTATGTGTGCCTCTTCAAATAATCACTTTAAACTAAATCATATCAAAATTTAAAACATTTAATGCTTTTTATGCACGGCAGAAAAATTAAAATAAATGTTCATTGACAATAATTGACAATTATTTAAAAATCCGTGTAACAATTGGTTGACTTCTGTGCTGTAGATTAAATATAAGGAATTATGAGATTACTGTTGATTATATGTAGGGAATTTGATCTATGTTACGTCAATCAAATTTATCCAAACATATCATTTTATACATGTATTACAATATTTGCACAATAAATTGGTATGAAAATTTTATTTTTACATCGCCAAAATTAATTCGTCCAATCTGCAGTGCCAACGTAGTAGTAGTAATAGTAGTAGTAGTAGTAGTAGTAGTAGTAGTAGTAGTAGTAGTAGTAGTAGTAGTAGTAGTAGTAGTAGTAGTAGTAGTAGTAGTAGTAGTAGTAGTAGTAGTAGTAGTAGTAGTAGTAGTAAATTTTTTGATGACAGCTAGACCGATATGCCTTTGGATAATGTTCTATTATCTGGTCCTTTATAGTTTTTTCTTTTTGCGCTTCTTTGTAATTTATTCTCTCTGTTTTTGTAATTCTTTAATGTACAGAATGGCTACAGAGACACAAAATCTTTTTTACCATATGTATTATTTGATACTATTATTTTTAAAAGACCTTCGTTGTTTACGATAAGTTCGTTTAAAGCAGGATGGGATTTTCTTTTAACAACTGATTCACTTATTTTCATTGCATGATCCGTTCTTCGATCTAGTGCTTTAAGACCCAGTTATTTAATTAATGGTGCAGCATGGGAATTTTATGGTACATAGGAAATGATTCTTGCGGCTTGTATTTGTATTACGTCTAATTTTGTTATATAGGTGTTTGATATTGAAATATAGAGTGAACTAATAAATTCCATATGACTAAACAACGGAATGGCACCATTTCGTTGTAGACCAACTTTAATAGTCTTTTTAGTAGGCTTGCTGATGCTCTAGCCAACATTCCCTGGGAAGAGTGGCATTTTTTTATTACCGACTCGATCTGCTCTTTAAAGGTTAGATGCTGATCCAATGTTACTCTTAATAATTTTACATTGTTTTAAGGCTTTATTGTTATTTTATCTAATAGAATTTGGTAGTCAGTAGGTATTTGCTTCCTGGGTGGTTTGAAAATAATTAATTGGGTCTAATTTGTGTCTACAGTCAATTTCATTTTTTCACATTAATCTTTTGTATCATGGAACGATTTCTTTAATTTTTCTGCAATTACTTGAAGTGATAGGTTGGCTTCAGATGTGTTTATATCGTCGGCAAACTGATATATTTTTGATTTTAAAGAAGTTGAGAGCTCTCTTGTGTAATAGTTGAGTAATTCTGGGCTGAGTCACCTCCTTGTGGAGCACTCTTTGTGATTGGTTTCCATGAACTAAATTTTTTACCATTTTTAATAACCCTTTGTATTCTATTTTCAAGATAATTAAAAAAACATTGTCCTGCTTTGACTCTTATACCCATCGAAGGCTTTGGATAAGCCTATTAATAGAGCACCTACATACTTACCATCATCAATTGATGTATACCATGAGTTTGTAGCTGTGAGTATAGCAGTTTCAACTCCCAAGAGTTTCCTTGAATTTGTTTGCTATTTCTTAATATTATTTGTCCGTTTTTG